AAAGCATCTACCATAGAGGCAAACAAGGAGTGGAGGATGGGGGATTATGGGTGGGGACACCTGTGCTGGGAGATGTACACCGGTGGAGGGATGGGTATTGGAATACTGTATGACTGAAATCCTATCATGAACAGCTTTGTAAGGGTCTGTCTCATAGTGAATAAGGAAAAAGTTTTTAAAATTTGCTCATTTTGTGGGCCTGGGAAATGGCACCCTTTTGTGATACTGGTTTGGTCCCAGAATTGTTCTTTGTGGCCCTGTTGATCCCCAGACCACATGGTTGGGTTCTGTTGCTTCTTGAATATCTCCAGGAATGCTCTAGGCTCCCTTGAGTACTGCTTGCATTGCTTGGGCCCCTGACTTGCAGCTTCTATTCATCTCTTTCTCTCTTAGGCATTACAGTTGCATTGTGCATTGGAACCAAATGTATACAGTAGGAAAACTGGCTATCAAGGACCCCCCACAGTATATTTAGCTAAATTAGAAGAAAATATATACAAAGGCACTTTGCAGTTTTTTTGCTGTATTTTGTCCACACCTGGTGGTGCTCAGGGCTTACTCCTGACTCTGTGCTTTGGGATCACTCCTAGTGGAATCGGTAGACCATATGAGGCAAGGGCCTTACCCCTGTACTGTGTCCTCATCAAAGGTATCAAGAAGGGAAGCTATGCCACTTATATCCTGAAGATTTGTGTTTGGGAGGTGTGCTCTCATTTTGTCAGTAGGACCAGAGAGATAGTACAGTGAGTAAGGCACGCGGCTGACCTAGGTTTGATCCTCCGAATCGACATGGTCACTGGAGCACCGCTATCAATTAATTCCTAAACATAGACTCAAGAAGTAACCCTTGAGCGCTATTGGGAGTCCCGCCACCCCCTCCCATCTCGTAAATTTTTTTAAAAAAATTAAGCTATCATTTTATTCAATAAAAAATTTAGAGGAGTTAACTGATCCTTCTAAATTCATATTGTTAATACATAAAAGTGCAGAACCAAGATTCCACTCAAATCTGACTCCAAAAGTCATGCCTTTTTTTAAATTTTGTCTTTTCTTGCTGTTTTCTGTCTATTCTTAAATTTTAAGTTGGGGTGTTTTGGTTTTGGGGTTTTTTGTTTCAGTGTGTGGTGGTGGTGGTGGTGTGGTGGTCGTGGTCATGGTCATGGTCATGTTCGTAGTGGTTGTTTGGGGGCCACGCCTGGTGATGCTCAGGGGTTACTCCTGGATCTGATGGCTCTGCACTCAGGAATCACTAATGGTGGTGCACAGGGGACCACACGAGATTCTGGGAATCAAATCTGGGTCTGCCAGATGCAGGGTCAGCCTTATCCTCTCTACATCTCTCCAGTCTTATACTGAGGTTTTTTAATATGTGGAGAATTTAGGATTGGGATTTGGAATTGTGGAATAACTAAATGTTTGAATTAAATTGTGGTGGAATTACAAAAGATTATTGTTATGTGATGGGAGAATTTGGGAACCTTTTTCTTTACCTCTAGTAATATGCAAATAACTACCCCGCTCTGGACTTTATTTAGAACTATTTGATTCACTGTGCTACTTCATATTTTCTTGTGCTAACTTAGTATATTTTACTTATATAGTGTCCTTTGTCTAGAATGTAAAATAGACCCCTCCTGTTTTGTTGTGTTTTGTTTTAATTTGCTGGGGGGCCTCACCCAGCAGTGCTTAACCTTGTTCTATGCTCAGGGGAGATGGCATGTCTGGAATCAGCTGTGTGCAAGGAAAAGCACCATGCTCACTGTCTTCTGTGCATGGAAAAAGACATATACACACACCTTTTTTTTTTTTTAAATTTTGTTTTTGGACCACACCCAGTGATACTCAGGTTACTCCTGGCTCTAACAATCAGCAGTTACTCATGTCAGTGTTGGAGGACTATACGAGATGCTGGGTATCAAACCTGAGTTAGCCACATGCAAGGCACACACACTACCCACAGTACTATCTGGCCCATAAAAAGTCTCATTTGTTTTGGTGAATTACTTGAGGCTTTATGAACAAAAACTGGTACAAAAATTAGCAATTATGTAATGTTTTACCATGCTGACAATTGGGGAGCATTCTAGAGGGTAATGTAACTTGTTTTGTTTGTTTTCGGGCTGTTCAGGGACTGTGGCACTGTGCAGGGATCACTGGCAGCTCTCAGGGAGTCTTATGGAGGGCTGGGAATTGAACCTGGGTAGTTCGCATGCTTGCAAGACGAGCGCCGCCCTGTCCATAGCACTTCCAATCCTTGGAAGGTAGTTGTTTTTTTTGTTTTTATTTTATCCTGGCTTTATGCTCAGGGATCAGAGTGTATAATCCCCCAAGTCCCATCAGGAGTGATGGATTTGGGATTATATGTTGTGCCATGGTGCCATGGATCATACCCAAATTGGCTGTGTGCAAGGCAAGTGCCCTACCTTCTTGTACTATTGCAGCCACTAGAAGGTAACTTTTCTAATTTGTTTCTCCTCTTCCTACAGCTTTTGTTTAGCCATGAACATTAATATCCTGATAATTAGGGTTACTTCTTTTGTCAAGGCTATTACGGAATAAAGAGAAGTTGGAAAGCAATGATCATTTTCAGATTCACTTCCTTGTCTGTTTTACAAAATTTTAGGGGTGAAATGAAAGTGTATACTTCATATATCTGTGTAGCTTAAGTTAGTCTAGGAAATCTGATGTATCTGATTTTCATTTTAACATTAATTCCTGTGCATAGGAGACCATTTTACTCTTGATAAAATAGAAGATTTTATTTTTACCACAAATACTAAGATTTGTAATGATTATTTTAGGGCAAAGAGTGAAGTTTCTCATCGTATATAATCTCCCAAAAATAAAATCTTAAATAATAAGAAAATATCAACATTAATTCAGTACAAAATGGGTAAGAAGTTTATGAAACTGTAGTGAGCTGGGGGTTTTTTGTTTGTTTTTGAACTACTCCTGTGGTGCTCAGGACTTACTCCTGGCTTTGCACTCAGGGATCACTTTTGGCAGACATAGGCCACATTAGATGCCGGGAATCAAACCAGGTCAACCATGCTCAAGGCAAGCGCCTTACCTGTTGTACTGTCTCTTCCTGAAACTACTGTGTTTTAATATACAAAAACCTTACGGTGGTGTTAAAAGTTAAGCTCAGGGTTGTTTTTTTTGTTTGTTTTGTTTTTTAAGTAAAACATTTATTTGGAGGTTTTGTAGGGAAGGAGGAAGAGAAGGTGGAAGAGAGTGGAGAGTAACTTGTTCAAGAGAGAACCCAGGCTTCTCCAAGGGTGGAGGGAATCCCTACACACATTCCAGTGATAGACAGGAAAACATGAAAGTCCACCTCTCAAGAGAGGAGATGGTGGGGGGCACATGGGCTCAAGAAGCATATATCTTCAAGCTTAGGCATCTTGATGTCCTTAAAATTTGCCTTTTAAGTTATACATTGTTTCTATACTTAATGTTCTGTACTGAAACTATTAGTGTAGAAAAGTAATTAAATGGTATCTTCTGTTGCATTAGCAGAAACTGAAGATTTTAAAGATAGTAATTCTTAGTCTTTCATCCAGGAAGGAAGTTTAAGAAAGTAGATTAAAAATCAAATATTCACTTCTGAAATTTTGTTTTCTTGCCCACACCTGCAGCCAGTGTTCATGGTCTTCCCAAACCCCCACCGTGAGGGGGGGGTGGGGGGGCGGAGGGATGGTGATGTCACTCCCAGAGATACTGGATTGAACCCAGACCTCCTGCATGAAAAGCCTGGGCTCCAGTCCATTGTGTTATCTCTCCAGCCTTTCATAGGAATACTTGTGTGTTTTAGGTGAGAATGTGAAATTCTAGATCAAGGCGATGCCAGGCACAATGCAAGAATAGGAAATCCTACCCATTAACTGAAAATCTTATACTTAAAAGATTTGCTTTCTTAAAAATTGATGAGGGTTTATTGTATTAGGACTACAGATCAGTATGATAACTAGTGAACATTTGAAATGTAGAGAGCCTATTTGTAGTTGGTTTTTTTTTTTGCTTTTTGGGTCACACCCGGCGATGCACAGGAGTTATTCCTGGTTCATGCACTCAGGAATAACTCCTGGCGGTGCTTGAGGGACCGTATAGGGCTGCGTGCAAGGCAAACGCCCTGCCTGCTGTGCTATTGCTCCAGCCCCTGTAGTTGGGTATTTTTTAATTTGAATGAGGTGCCATTCACCCCGCTTTTGGGGGGCATGTTACACCCTGTGATGGTTGGGTTACTACTCCTGGTCCATTAAAGGATTTTTAAAATCAGTTAACACAACCACTGACTTGACTGTTGCCGGTTATTATAATATTAAAGTGGTACCGTAGATGTAAAAGAATATTGAGAATAAATCTGTTGTGAAGTGCAAAATAGTTACAGACAAATTGAAAATAAACTATTTTGAAGTAGTTGTCATTGAAGTGGAAGAGGATTAGAAGATTCTAGTGAGCATTATTTTTTGTTTTCATTAATTTTCAAGGAAAGGGAAGTTGATGTTTAGAATTTTCACCAACTTGTTGGATAGTGTAGTATTTCATTTAACCTAAACAAGTCACATTTTTGTGATTATAACTTATTATCATAAACGGCTTTTAATGAACCCTTAGTTTTCTGTTTATTTGGATAAAATTCATACAGCCTGGGTGTCTGCTGTTTTAGTGTTTGCCTCTAAACAAATAATTTTTTTGGTACTTAACATACAGTAATTAGCAAATATAATATAGATGTCTGCTTTTTCCCCCTAAACATTCATCTGTAGTCACCAAGTCATTGCATAATTGTTCTTTGTGGTTACTTAAAAGATTTAAGTTAAAGGTCGTTAGTTTTTGTTTTAACTATTCTTAAAAGCTAAGTCCCAGAAAAACACAAATATTATTCTTACTAGAGCAAGTTTATAAAAGAGGGGTCTTAACATTTTTTAATAGATAATACTTTCAAAGTAGGTTTTTTTCTTGCTGATATAACTAACATTTATTTTCTGTTTATTTTTAAGACGAGCAAAAATCAAATTAAAGTAGATCTTGTAGATGAGAATTTTACAGAATTAAGAGGAGAAATAGCAGGACCTCCAGACACACCATATGAAGGCAAGTACTTTTTTCTGTATCAAAATATTGTGCATATTAGAACTTGTCTGAAACATTAAATCAAAATAATCTTAAAGCATCTATAAATTTAATGTAAGATTACTTCATTTGATTCTGTTTATATAGCAATATTTAAATAATTTACATACTTACTAGACTAATACAGATGATTTTTCCTCTTAATAGATGTAGTAGAGCCAAGTTACAGGTTATACAGATTAGTGTTCAGTAATATTGAATATCCTGCATATTAAACCTCTAACTTCTGTGGACTATAGGCTTAGTTAACTTTCACTTTATTTACAGTAAGCCTTGCCTTAAATATGACTGATAAAATGTGCATATATATATAACATATACACACATATATGCAAGTTCCTTTACCCTAACATTTAGTAATCATTCACTTATAACTTTTTGTAGTCTGTTCCAAATACATTTTTTAATTTATTTTATTTGTTTATTTATTTTGCTTTTTGGGTTGCACCTGGCAATGCACAGGGGTAACTCCTGGCTCTGCGCTCAGGAATTATCCCTGGCGGTGCTCAGGGGACCATATGGGATGCTGGGAATCGAACCCAGGTTGGCCGCGTGCAAGGCAAACATCCTACCCGCTGTGCTATTGCTCCAGCCCCAATACATATATTTTTTTTTAATTGAGGAAGACTTTGGTCATTCTGATCTGTACAAATAAGAAAGCAGGTAGCTTTATTGAACTTCATTTTCACAAACTTAAGTCTGTAGCTACTTTAGACTATGGAATCGGGTGGTAAGATATAGAGAGAAACCTTAGTAGGCAAATTAGTAGGCAAATGACTAATAAGATTAGTGCAAGCTTGGGCTATGTAGCATGAATTATATTTTTGCATAAACTAGACATTCAGGTATTTAGTATAAATAATAATACATTTTTGTGGTAATAGTATTTGAGTTCTTATTAGAGCTTTACATGTATTTTTCATTCAATGCTTACAACAATATGAGGTAAGTACAGTTAATACTATTTCATAGATGAAGACATTTAAACTGAAGTTGTCAGAAGTCAAAATATGTGGTTGATATTGCTGGAATTTAAGTTTTCATTGTCCTGACTTAAAATTCTATGCTTTTTATTTTTTCCTGCTCTCGAACAAATCAGGATTGATTAAACATTAGACAGGATTATATGGTTATATTTACTTTGAATCTAGTATTCCTATCTTTTTTTTTTTTTTTGGTTTGGGGACAAAAATCAGCTTTGTTGTGCTTGGGGGACCATGTAGTACTGGGGACTGAACCTGGAGCTCCAACCATTGGAGCTGTTTCCTGGCCCTATAGATATGTTTGGGGGGAAAGGATCACACCCAGCAATGCTCGAGTTCTTCTTGGCTCTGCATTTGGGAGTTAACTACAGGTTGTACTCGGAAGACCATATGGGATGCTGAGGATTGAATCTGGGTCGGCATGTGCGAAGCAAACACCCTCCCCGCTGTACTATCACTCCAGCCCTGGCCCTGTAGTTTTCTAATGAACAATCACCAAAATATTTTTCAGAAAAATCCATTATTCTAGAATATTTTCTTTTTTTTCCCCCTGCAGTGCCAGGGATTGAATGCATGATCTTCTTAGAAATATACAAGGCAAGTGTTTTAACACTGAGCTGCAACTCCAGCCTGAATATTTTTATTTTTTATTCAAAAAGTTTTAGATCCCATGATATCCTTAGCATTTCCCAACATAATTTATTTTACTTTTTGATCTTTTGGGATATATCCAGTATTGCTCTGGTGACCATGAAGGTCCAGAGATTGTACCCAGTCCTCCTGCATACAAAGCATGTGCTTCAGTCCTTTAAATATTCTCCATCAACTCTTGCTAAATTTTAAATTAGGTGCCAAAGAGATAGTAAAGCCGGCAAGGTGCAACTGACCCATGTTTTATTCCCAGCACTTTATATGTTATCCTGAGCCCATCAAAAGTGATCCCTGAGCACAGCTGGGTGTGGCCCAAAGAAAAGACAGATTTTTAATTATTTTATTTTTTGTTTTATGGTCCACGTGAACCATGTTTTAAAATTCTAATAGGGCTAGGGTCTAACTCAAGTGGTAGCCTTAAATTCTTTCTGTGGCGCTGCAATATACACATTGCCTTCATCCCCGGCATCTGTGGTTGTGGGATATGTTTTCTGGAGTACTTAAGCACTGCTGAGCCTGGGTGGCCCTTAAAAGAAAAAAAAATAATACTTAGGGAGTACCTTATATATGTCAGATGAGGTCTTATGTGCTTTCGTGTAATGCTATTTCACATAGTTAATAATTAATTTTAAATTAGACCATAATTCTTTAGTAATTAGAAACAAGTTTGTTCATTTTCTGCTGCTTCTATGAGTACTGTTTGGTTAGTTTTTATAGGTTTTCAGGCGCTATACTTGAGACAGATTACGTTACTTTTTTTTTTTAATTATTAAAGTTGCATACAATGTGCATGTTGGTTGTTGGGAGGGAGTCGATTGTTGATTTTTGTTTTAGTTTTATTTTTCGGCCCATACCCTGTGGTGGTCAGGACTGTTAAGAGGTTCTTGGATTGGCAGTGTGCAAGGCAAACATTCAACTTGCTCTACTATCTTTGTGGCCCTTCAGTTTTTAAGAGAAATTGTTTATAGTTATTTAGGATAAGCACCATTCCAGCATATAGACTTCCGTACTTAAAATATATATGAGAATGGAGTATTTTGATAATGTTTATTTCAGAGTTCTTGCCAATTAAAAATTTTTCTTAAAAAATAGTGAGGGTAAAATTATCCATGTAGAACATTAGATAATTTATACCAGTATGTAACAAGACAGCTATTTTATGTACCGAAAATTGAAAGGTAGCATACCCATGGAAAGGTGGCTGTGCATGGCCATTGTACAGTTGTATAAATGAAATTTTTTTACTTGAATAACTCAGTGGTAAAGGAATAGTTTATTTTTTAGTTGTTTTTTTCCCCCCTATAATAATTATGTTTTAGAGGGGCTGGAGAGATACTATAATAGGTCAGGCTCTTGCCTTGCATGTGGCTGACCCAGATTCAGTCCCTGGCATCCCATAAAGTCCTCCAAGCACAGCTAGGAATGATTCTTGAGCGCATAGCCAGGAGTAACCCTGAACTTCTCTGGATGTAGCACACCCCACCTCACCCAATTATCTTTTAGAACCAGAGACAAATACAGAGGTTAAGGCACTTGTTTTGCATGTAGCTGACCCCAGTTTGAATCTGGTACCACATATTGTCCCTGAGTATCACTAGAAGTGGTCCCTAAAATACCACTGTGAATGTCGCCTCACCCAAAATTAGTTTTTTTATTTAAAGAGTCATTGCCCATGTGTATATAGAGTTGTTCTTTGTCTATTTTGTGCCACATCCCAACTCTACTCAGGATTGCTACTTATAGTTGTAGACTATACCAGTCTTTTTACTACAGTTTCACCATTTCTCCATTATCGTCCTATAGTCCTGTCTCTCTTCTGTTCACTTCCCAATTCTGTTGATTAGTGATCAGTTGTGCTTATTTTTTTTTGGGAAATATTTTACAATGAGTTACTATAATATAAACAACATACTGATTATAGCTCCCCTTAGTGTTTTTGCTATTAATGTATCCAACAAGTGTTGTGGTTAATAACAGTATTTATTGAAATGCAATACATGAACTAGGATATTAATCGGCATTAGAGTAGAAATAGGATTTGAGGTCACAAATATAACTCAGGTAAAATGCAAATATTCACATATGAAGTCCCAGGTTCAGTCCCTAGCATGGCAAATAAAAAGAGATGGACAGTGCTCTTTGCACTAGGGTTCATCATATTTCACCACCTAGTTGTCACAACTTTTAAAAAAGTTGTATTGGTACCCTTGTTGTGTGTGTGTTTGTGTGTGTGTGTGTGTGTGTGTGTGTAATGTTTCAGTGTTAAGAAATATTGCAGAAGTTAGGTTAACCTAGGTTTAATTCAAGGACTCAGGTAGTCCCCTAAGCTTCACTAGGTGCAGCCCTTAGAGGTTCTGAGTGGTTTCCAGGAATCTCTGGAACGGAGACCTAAACCGCATTTTATCCTCATTGTTGCATTAAGCTGCCATCTTGGTTGGCCGAGATTACCATTGGGCCCCCAGGCCTCCTGAATACAACTTGAAGATCCCACTACCCCCTTGCCACTTCCGCCGCTCCCCCCCCAAAAAAAAAAAAGCATCACATAATTGCATCCCACTTTTTAAGTTCTGGGCCACAGTTGACTGTGCTCAGAAATTAACTCCTGGCTCAGAGATCACTGGTAGTTATCTACATTCAGGGAACCATATTAGGTGTTGGGGACTGAATCTGGGTCCACACATGCAAAGGCAACTGCTGTATTATCTCTGGCCTCACATCCCACTTTTTTTGTTTGTTTTTTGGGTCACACCCAACGATGCACTCAGGAATTACTCCTGGTGGTGCTGGTGGACCATATGGGATGCTGGGGATCAAACCTGGGTCGGCCACATGCAAGGAAAACGCCCTACTCACCATACTATTGCTTTGGCCCCCACATATTCTACTCCCCCACCCCCCAAATGAATTGTTACAACATTTACAGCAATTATGAGTTTAATAACTGGGTTCTCACTACTGCTCCTGTGCTTGTTTTGCGCATTCAAGAATGAAAAACTTAATATGAGAAGTTAAAAGATACCAGATATTCAGTTTCTTCCCCCAAAAAACAAAGATGAAGGAGAAGATAACTAATACTCAGAACAATTTCGTTAAACTTATTTTGAAGTGTAGCATTTATAACTGAATGTAGACGTGTATATTCACAAAATCTCTTTAGTACTCTGTGTCTTCCTTTATTCCTTTTGCATTGACTAATTTCCTTTATATATTTTTTGCATATACCTGTGATTCAGGCATTTGGTTCATTTCTGGTATTCCTCATTGGAACTCTATTAAAAAGAATTAGTAGAGAGGCAAAAAATAAGAAAGAGAAATTATTGGAGGAGTGTAGCTAGTACTAAAGCACTTTGCATTTGCTAGTGTGAGTATGAGGCCCACAGTTTCTTCTCACGTGCTGAAAAAAAAAACAATCATAAAGAGAATTGAACCAAAAAAGGTTATTAGAGACTCCAATGATTTGCTATTTTTTCTCCCAGATTTAGTCACCTGTGCATAACCATGGAGAAGGTGTATTTGAGAGAATCCCAATTATTTTTTTGAAAGGAAGCTGAGAAGAGCGGACAACTTATTATTATTTTTTTTTAACAGATTTTGTTTTTGGTTTTTTGTGTTTTTTTTGGGGGGGGGGTGTGGTGTCACACCCGGTGATGCACACGGGCTACTCCTGGTTCTGCAATCAGGAATTATTCCTGGCAGTGCTCAGGGGACCATATGGGATGCTGGGAATTGAACCTGGGCCGGCCGCTTGCAAGGCAAACGCCCTACCCGCTGTACTATAGCGCCAGCCCTGAGAATCCACAATGTTCTTAGTTGAGTGTGAATATTGAAGTTGTCAACTCTAGCATAGTTTTTACTTTATTCTTTAGTTTGAGGCCACAACCTACAGTGTATCAGGAATCACCCCCAGGTATGCTCAGGAGAAGCAGGTTATATTGGGGCTCAAACCCTCTTTTATACGACATATGTACTCTGCCCATTGGCCTATCTATTGGCCCTTTATCTGTGTGTGTGTGTGTGTGTGTGTGTGTGTGTGTAAAATGTAGGCTACAGATAAAGAAGACAAGTAGTATAATGAACACTTTATATACACAACAGTCAGCTTTAGTATTCACTTAGCCAGCCTTTTAATTCATTCCTTGATTGTTCTAGGTATTTCCCAAATTGGATATAGTTTCTTATATTAAATATTTAAGTAATAGTTTTATATGCTGTATTTTGGAGTAGTGGGTATTGGTAAAATTAAATGGAAGTTTTCCTAAGAGTTAGAATTCTGACACAGACTTTCATTCAATGTAAGGCTTCCCCCATTAGTTTCCTGAGGGACTGCTCTCCTCCAGTTATAGGACAGACACTAGGTAAACTGGGGAAATAGATCAATTTTAGCACCAAGCCTGATGGTTTGCCTTTTGTTCATAAATACTTAGAACTCTCTAAGATATTGCGTTTTACATATTCCTAAATAATTTTGTTGTTACTCCTGCTTCTTGTTGAATTTTTTTTTATCTTATTTTAGCAAGAAGTGTTGACAATATAGGGCACATTTCAAAAGTTGGGGGCATCTTTACATTTGAGAGAAATATCTATTTTTAGTTTGTAACAAAACTTTTTATATCTGTTCTCTACCATCTTTGCTTTTATTACCCCTGCATCCTTCTTTATTTTCTTTGATTTTTTAAAATTATTTATCATCTCTTACAAGAGCAGTTTAGAGAATTCATAAATAGGTGTAATCTACACTGCTTATCACATTGAAATCTTTGACTTTTATATTCATGTATCTCTTGTTCTATTGTTTGTTGATAAACTAACACAGTTGCATAAAATGGATATTTTTTAGCCCTTAAAAAACTTTAGTGTTTTTAGTATTTCTCTTTTTGTATTTAGTGTATTTAGAATTTCCCCTTAATTTCAATTTAAATTTGTTGTAATTAAATGTGAAGTACTACAGTTTTTCAAAATTTCTTTTGCTGTATACTGCTTTAAATATTTGAGATGAGCCGCTTTCTTAACTTTGTGTTTTTCCATTTTTCAGGAGGAAGATATCAACTGGAGATTAAAATTCCAGAAACATATCCATTTAATCCCCCTAAGGTATTGTAAACATTTTTATTTTGTGTGTGTGTGTGACACTGGCGATGCCCAAAGTTTTTTATTCTTGGCTGCTCTGCACTCGGGATCACTCTTCGCAGTGTTCAGGGGACCATTTGTGGTGCTGGGGATTAAACCCAGTTTGGCCATGTACAAGACATGTGCTTTTGCCCCCTGTACTCTCTCCAGCGGCCTCATTTTTGTTTTTAGATTTTCATTTCATTTTTTGGACTTTGGGCCACGCATGATGCCAGGGAGTTGAAGGGGGCAAGCCGCCTGTAAGACAAGTACACCTTACCCCCTGTATACTCCCTCTGGTCCCATTCTATTAATTTCATTTGAATCCTTGTCCCTCTAATTTAAAAATCTAGCTTTCTTTTGAGGTTCTAGGTAAACTACACTTACTAGTTTTTCTCTCCCTTTATTGTTAACATTTTACATAATTTATATAGTACACAGTACCAGTTAGTGTATCATACATAATTGGGTGGTATGTGTCCTTCTGGTGCTCCTGAGTTAATGACTTAATTTAGGTTTGGGTGCCATATATGGTGTTTATCAGAGCATTCTCCTGACTCTGCACTTGGGTCATGCAATGACAGGCTCAGGGTACCATAAGGGTGCCAGAGATTGAACCTGGTTCATTCACTTTCAAGGTAAGCCACCATCTTCCAGGCCCTACCCACTTTGGTTCTTGGGTGACACGTCATGGTGCTCAGGGCTTTACTCCTGCCTCTAAGCTTTGAGATTATTCCTAGTTGTGCTCAGGGACCATATGGAGCGCTGAGGATCTAACCAGGGTAAGCCGTGAGCAAGGCAAGCACCTTACCCACTGTATTCTCTCTCAATCCCCAAGATTAGGAATTATATTTTATATACCTTTGCATTTTCTCTGTGTCCTAAGTAAGAGTTGACTGTTCTTTGAATCTATGATAGTGGTTTTTACCAAATGGTAAACATGGCCGACCCGAGTTCGATTCCTCCGCCCCTCTCGGAGAATCCGGCAAGCTACCGAGAGTATCTCGCCCGCACGGCAGAGCCTGGCAGGCTCCCCGTGACGTATTCGATATGCCAGACACAGTAACAACAAAGTCTCCAATGGCTCGTTACTGGGCCCGCTTGAGCAAATCGATGATCAGTGGGAGGGCCTTTACTTTTTTACTTTACCAAATGGTTCAAAGTTGATTCAATCAGTTGAATCATTTTTGCAGGGAATTCGGGTGGGAGGGGAAAACATGGGACAGTGCTCAAAAGCCCGTCTTCTGTCTGTTCACTCTTCAGGGATAAATGTGCTGCTGGGTACCGAACTTGGAGCTCCTGTATGCAAAGCGTGCACCCACCCTTTAGTATCTTCTGACTCCTATTATATCTCTCTTTGAGGGGAAGGGGATGTCGGGCTACTCCTTAATCTCTATTGGAGGTGGGGGTGTGTCATTCCCATTGATGATCCATAGACCGTATAGTGCTGGTGTGAGCCACGTGCAAGGCAAGAGTCTTCACTCCTCTACTGTTTCTCCACCATATGGTTCTCTTTTTCAATTAAATTAAATTAGTTTCTTTATTATTGGGAGATGGTTTGGACCACTCCCGGCAATGCACATGGGTCCATATGGTATGCCTGGAATCAACCTTGGTTGGGCGTGTGCAAGGCAAGTACCCTACCCACTGTACTGCTGGTCCATGGTTCTCTTTTTAAGAATAGATGTGGTTAGGGGCTGGAACAATAGCACAGCGGGTAGGGCCTTTGCCTTGCACGCAGTCAACCCAGATTCGATTCCCAGCATCCCATATGGTCCCCTGAGCACTGCCAGGGGTAATTCCTGAGTTCAGAGTCAGGAGTAACCCCTGTGCATCACCAGGTGTGACTCAGAAAGAAAAGAAAGAAAAAATCCCCCCAAAAATAGACGTGGTTGGCCAAAAGGATGTAGCTTGGTGATAGGGCTCACGAGAGAGGCTCTAGGTTCAATCTTGCATGGGGCAGGGGCGATGGGATAGGATATGAAGGTTCTAAGGTGACTGGATTACCTACTAGTTTGGATTTTCTATATTCTGTGAAAAGCATATGACTGGAGTTGTATATGTTCTGTGTATGCACATGAACTATCTCAACCATTCCTAAAATACGGTTCAGGAGCATTAGGAACATAATATTCTGCAGCCATTACCACCATCTTCCAGGACATAATTTTAAAATGATTGTATAGTTCTGACTCTGTTTTAGGTATTTCATTCTTTATTTTGTCCTTGAAGCTTTTTTTTTTAATACTTGTAGACTATCAAAGAGGTCCAATATATTTGTTGCTATCTCATACTTCTCTTCCAGCTGCTGCTGTCCCATTCTACCATTCTAGTTCTAAGATTTAGAAAGTTTGGAGCTGGAGTCATAGTACAGCAAGTAGGGCACTTGTCTTGCATGTGACCAACTCAGGTTCAATCTCCAGCATCCCCTATGTTCCCCAAAGGCCCTCCAGGAATGATCTCAGTGCAGAGCCAGGAGTAAGCCCTGATATGGCCCCCAAAGCAAAAACAAAACAAAAAAACTTCAAGGTTTAGAAAGGTTCCTTCATTCACTCCAAATCTCCTTGTCTTCACCAATTATAGTTAACATTTAATAAATTGTTTTAAAAAAGTGACACTTTGCATTAGATTATAGTACAGAAGTTATGGCGATTTCCTTGCATGTTTCCTGTCCCAAGTATTCATGGTCCCCTCAGCACAGAGTCAGGAGCAGCATTAGAGTATTTGGGTGTGGCCCATCATAGCCCCTCATCAATAGGAAGAGTTGTACTCTTTTTTGGTGTTGACTTTTTGGAGTATTTATTAGTGTATGCTAAGTTTGTATTAGATATTTACCTTTTGATGTGAATATTTGCTGAATAGTAAATACAAAGAATGAGGAATAATTACAAATTTGATGGATTGTGTTCAGTTGAATTTAATATTATAGGCTCAAATTTAAGTTTAAGCCGTATGGTATAAAGTAGCACTGCACTGTAGCACTGTCCTCCTGTTCATCAATTTGCTTGAGCGGGCACCAGTAACATCTCCATTGTGAGACTCGTTGTTACTGTTTTTGGCATATCGAATATGTCACAGGGAGCTTGCCAGGCTTTGCTGTGCGGACGGAATAATCTCAGTAGCTTGCTCTCCAAGATGGGCAGGGGAATCGAACCCGTGTTGGCCACGTGCAAGGCAAACGCCGTACCTGCTGTGCTGTCGCTCCAGCCCGTATGGTATAAAATAAGGAAAGGAAATATTCTCGTGCGGTAAAATTTGTGCAAGATTAAAAATGGCGAGAGAAAGAGAATACAAGGACTAAGGAACTTAGATTGCATGTGGCCTACTTTTAATGGATCCCAGGTATCACATGCGTAATTGACTTGAGTCCAGAGCTTAGGAACAGTATCAAAAACCACTAAGAATAACCCAAACCTTAATACACAGAGACCAAAAAAACCCCAAAACCTTTAGACTGGAGACATAGTTTAAAGTTTAAGGCATTTGCCTAGAAAGTGCCTCTGGCCAGCAACCCTCGTTCAAATCTGGGGCTGTATATGGTCCTCCAGGAACACCTGGCCTAGTGCACTGAGCACAGAGACAGGCATGGCACTTGAGATGAATTCAGATGTGACCCAACGACCAGTAAAAAGCCTACTTAAGAAAGAGTAGAGGGCTGGAGCGATAGACCAGCGGATACGGCGTTTGCCTTTCTTTTGGTCGACCCAGGTTCGATACCTGGCATCCCATGTGGTCCCCAGCACCGTCAGGAGTAATTCCTCGGTGCAGAGCCAAGAGTAACCCCTGAGCATCACTGGGTTTGACCTCAAAAGAAAAAAAAGAAGAAAACTCTTTATTGTTTTGTCTAGCTGTGTTCTTTTGGTTTTGGGTCATACCGGCAGTGCTGAGGGCTTGCTCCTGGCTCTGCACTAAGGGATTGCTCTTGGCAGTGCTTGGATAGACGTACAGGGTGCTGGGAATTGAACGTGGGTCAGACACATGCCAGGCAGGCCCTCTAGTCTCTTCACTCTCGCTAGCCCTTTTCCAGCTGTTTTTTTTTTCTCCTTAAATTTTTATTAGTGAAACACCATGAGGTACAGTTGTAGACATACAAATTTTTGTGCTTGGGTTTCAGTTATACAATGATCGAATACCCATCCCTCCACCAGTGCCCATTCTCCACCACCACCAGTCCCAGTATCCCTCCCCCCGCCCCCCCCCCCCCATCCTACCCTACCACTGTGGCAGGACATTCCCTTTTGTTACCTCTCTTTTGAGTGCTGTGGTTTGCAAAAGAGACATTGAGTGTCAATCTTGTTTGGACTATGATCTACTCTCATCACGCATTTCCCATCCTGAGAGGAACCTCCCAACACCCTTTATTTGGTGTTCCCTTCTCTATCTGAGCTGCCTTTTCCCCTACCAGCTCTGTTTTAGAGGTTGGGTTTTAAAATTTTGTTTTTATCATATTTTAGGTATGCATGTTTAAACTACCACCTTGTATAGCAAACAAGTTAATACTGGTTTGACATGCAATATTCTTAAGTTCCAAGTTGGAAAAGTAATTCCCAGTGAAATCTCCCAGTACTAAGAAATCACATCTCTTTATGAGTGAATAGAGGCACATCTGTTTATGAGTGAATAGAGGGTGCATTCTGTAGGAGGAGAAAACATGAGCAATGGGCTCCCGTTGTATATAACCAAATATAGTATATTTCCACCTGATAACACTGAGTAGTTAGTGTTAATATTTTTGGTGAGGAGGGGTGCATACCCACCTGTGCTCAGGGCTTCCTCTGGCTCTCTGCTTAGGGATCACTCCTGGCTGGCTCGGGGACCATGTGGAGTCCTGAGATTGGACCCTTGTCAGATTCTTGCAAGGCAGACAATTTACCCACTGTACCCTCTCATGTTCGTGTTACGGTTTTTGTTTTTTCTTTGAGTGCTTCCCAAAGTTACTATTAGGAAATTCGTGGATGTTGATATTAATAAAGTTTTGTTTTTGCCAATAGGGATTTGAATTGTCACTAGCAAATATCATAGTTCTCTAATCCATGGAATCTGAATATAAAACATGAGATGGCTAAATCTAAGTGTGTTTTTTATTTAGAACCCACAAGTGCCGTACCCACTGTGCCATTGATTCAGCTCTTCAGTTGTTTATTTCTAAATGTAGATTGTAATGAAAGGTAAGAAGTGGTTCAGTGAGTTAGGAATGTAGCTCTGCTATAAAGCCATGGCCTTGCAAGTGTGAGATCTGGGTTTAATTCCCAGTACCAGCAGGAATAAAAAGTTGAATGGATAAAAGGTAGTAACATTGTACATCAAAATTATAAATGCTGTCACTATTATATGCCTAAACTGAAAAGAAAATCGGGGCCAGGGTGATAGTATAGGGTTTAAGGCATATATATGCCTTGTATATTATTGATTCCTTGTTTAATTCCCCACCACTGTCTTCAGGGAGGTACTGGTAATCTCTGGCACACAGAGCCCTCATATTAAAACTATTGGAAGCACACCGTTGGTGCTCAAGGCTCACTCCTAGTTCTGCACTCAGGTATCACTCTTTTATTTATTTATTTTTTGGATTTTTGACTTTTTGGGTCACACCTGGCGATGCACATGGGTTACTCCTGGCTCTGCACTTAGGAATTACCCCTGGCAGTGCTCAGGGGACCATATGGGATGCTGGGAATAGAACCCAGGTTGACCGTGTGCAAGGCAAATGCCCTACCTGCTGTGCTATTGCTCCAGCCCTTCAGGTATCACTCTTGATGGCGCTCATGGGACCACATCTGGTGCTGGAGATTGAAACAAGGGCATCAGCTCTGTGCAAGGCAAGCACTTCACCCTTCTGTATATCATTCCAGCCCCTAATACTTAAAAAAGAAGAAATTTTAAGCGCAGCAAATTTTCCAAAATTATTTATAATTTGTGAAATAAACACTGATTTTTGTTTTAAAATGATTGTTTTGGGGTGGGTGTTGGTGTAATAGTGCAGCAGCTAGGGCATTTCCCTTGCATGCAGTTGACCCAGATTTTGGGTCACAGCGCGGATGGACAGGGGTTACTCCTGGCTCATGGGAAAGGCCCTACCCGCTGTATTACTGCTCCAGTACCCTCTTAATACATTTTTAAAATAGAATGATCATGTATTAAAGTTCGTTTTTAAAAGCAATGTAGTGGCCAGAGCAGTAATACAGTGGCTAGGGCGTTTGGCTTCCTTGTGGCTGACCTGCATACTATGTGGTTCCCCTGATTACTATCACAGAATGATTCCTGAGCACAGAGCAAGAAATAACAACCGGACATTGCCAGTTGTTACCCACAGACAGACAAAAGCAATACATGGGACTGGAAATGGTACAGGAGGTTAGGCACTTGATGTGCATGTGCTGCAGCTACTGTGACCCCAGCACCACTTATGATCTGCCCTTGAGCACTGCTGGGCGTTGCTGAAACCACCCTTCCAAAGTGAATAAATAGGGGTTAGAGGGATAGTACACAGGTAGGGCATTTGCCTTCACGCGGCCGACCTGGGTTTGATTCCCAGCATCCCAAATGGTCCCCCGAGCACCACCAGGAGAAATTCCTGAGTGCAAAGCCAGGATTCCCTGTGCATCGCTGGGTGTGACCCAAGAGCGTGGGGGGGCGGGGGGGGCGGAAAAAAGGTGAATAAATAGCAGGATATAGCTCAGATCCTTCGATCGCATTCCTAACTCAAAAATATAACATCTTCAAGTATTGATTTAAAACCTAGAAATCGGAAAGAAGTTTGAAGAAATATAGTGAGTTTGATTCTTCCCTTGCACGCAGCTGACCTGGGTTTAATCCCTGGCCCCACATACGGTTCCTTTAGCATTATCAGAACTAAATTGGGCACAGCCATTTGTTGTCTCTATTATATAAATATGTACAATACATAATTGAATCAATTTTTGTTTTAGAATAACAATGCTATACTTTCCCTTATTTATTCAAAATTATGCCTTTTCATTTTTGTTTTGGGACCACACCTAGCGATGCTCAGTTCTTCACTCAGGAATTACTCTTGATGCTGCTCAGGGACCCATATGGGATCCTGGGGATTACATTTAGGCTGGCTGCTTGCAAGGCGAGTGCCCTACTTTCTGTACTATCACTCCGGCCCCAAATACGAACAGTTACTCTGTTACGGAGAAGTGTTTATTATATATACACTTTATATGCCTTTTTCATTTTACCCCCACTGTTTTAGAGAGAGTTTGCTCTCTGAAACAAGTTTGTCATAATGTTAATTTCACATTCATTAGGTGTGAGTTACCTTAAATATTGGAGGTGCTCTAGCAGGCAGGAAATAGGGCATGTTTTAGGACAGCGAGACAAAGATGATTATAGATGTGTGAGCAACACTAGAATGCAGGATAGTGAGAGATTCAGTGGGGATAGATAAAAGTAGGAGTTAGGGGCTGGAGCGATAGCGCAGCAGGTAGGGTGTTTGCCTTGCACGCGGCCAACCCGAGTTTGATTCCCAGCATCCCCCGAGCACCACCAGGAGTAATTCCTGAGTGCAGAGCCAGCATTACTCCCTGTGCATTGCCAGGTGTGACCCAAAAAGGGGAAAAAAAGGGGGGAGTCTGGATAAGGAGGCATTGAGATCGGGCAAGACTTGCTTTGTATGCCAAAACTTTCACTGCAGCCCTGGTTCAATCCCTTGCGATGCATATGATCTCATGAGTTCCAGTGAGTGTGGGCCTCCCTGAGCCCCTACCCACCCTTCCAAAAAATAATGATAACATCGAGAACAAGCATGTGTGAAGGCCTTAAGGCAACACAACTTTATTTTTTGGCACCAAAGATTGATATCAAACTCTGGGCCTCAATATATATGAGGCATATACTTCACCAGAGTCACAAACCAGAGCCCCAAAGATTTTTTTGTTTGATAAGCTATTCACATGATATGGGGTGGAAATGGGATCTCAAGATTTAGGCAGAGGAAACTTAAAAATACCCATTTTGCGGTGGCCCTAGCCATACTACAGGACATTCTTTGCATGTGGCCCACTTGGGTTTGATCCCTGGAATCCCATATGGTCCCTTGAATATTGCCAGGAATAATTCTGAGTACAGAACCAGGAACATAGCTGGGTGTGGCTCAAACAGCCCCCACTTCCCACTCCCCCAGCAAAAAAAATACCTTTCCAGAGAGATAGTGGGTCAGAGCTGATACATGCTTGAACCGTGGGTGTGACCCACAAAAAAATCAAAAAGAATGTGGGACAAGTGTTTGAACACCACAGAAGCATGTTTAACCTCCAGCCATCTCAGTAACAGAGGGATAGGCTGGAAGGATAGTTCAGCAGGTAGGATGTGGCTGACCCAGGTTCCATTCCTGGCATCCCATATGGTCCCCTGAGCAATGCCAGGAATTAATTCCTGAGTGCCAAGCTGGTGGTAACACCTGAGCATCTCCTGTTTACTCTAAAAGCAAAAACAAGTCACACAGGGAAGGGAGAGGAAAAGGGTGGAAAGGAACTTGCTACAATGGGTGTATAAAGGATTTGGGTTTACTATTAGGGAAGAAGATTTTTTGTTTAATTTGGAAAGCCTTACTTATTTTGACGAATAGTGAGGCGACTCTACAAATGCAAAATCTGAAATCAAATTGATGAGTTTTTAATGCTATAATGAGTTACCGATTTTGGATAAATTTCTCCTTTTGTGTGGAGGGGTTGTTGATTTTAGGGGGCAAACTTAGCAGCTCTTTGGGGTCACACCTGACAGTGCCCTGGGAATCAACTGCAGTACCCAATTTGAACCAGTGTCAGCCACAGCCATGAGTTAAGCTAACAACCTTTGTACTATTTCTCTGACCCACAATTTTGGATAAATTTCTGAAATTCTTAAGCTTAAATATCTAGGTATGATATGTATGATAGTCAGCCTTCAGTAATTGCTGAATTATTTTTAGGAAGTAACTTGAACTGGGGGTGTGACTCAATGGTTGAGGTCTTGCCTTGAACGCATGATATCCTGGGTTTGATGTCTCTCTCTCTCTCTCTGTCTCTCCCTCTCCCTCTCTCTCTTTCTCTCTCCCCCTCCCCTCTCTGCCTCTCCCCCTCTCCTCTTTTTTTAACTACTGCTTATTGCCGTTACTTCCATTAATTGGTTTTCCTTAGCTTTTCCTTCAGACCTAACCTAGGAGGCTGAAGAGAGTACAGGTGGTAAGATGCTTGCCTGACAGCATCTTTCGATCTTGAGTATAGTCACGTATGGCTAAGCCATGCACTCCCTCTACCCGTGCTCACAGCACCTTCAAACATGCACAGCCTGCTGTGGATTTCATCTGAAAGATTTATGTACCTCCTGGGTACAAGAAAAGAAAGAAAAATGTTTCACTTTTCTATATTTCTTTGTTTGCCTAAAGGAATTTCCATTCCTGTTGGGGAGGAGGGGTGCAGAGGCCATTTTGAGAAGATAGTATGTCAGTGACAACATTCTGCTTCCTGAATGCTTGTCTTTTATGTTGCTCCTTTCACCTAGGTAAAGTCCTCTAAGTGTGAACTTTTTTTTTAATAAGAGGATTTTACTCTCCTACAGTTTTTTTATAAACTACATGGTTTGTTTTGTTCAGTTGCTTTTTCTGTTGTCTTAACTGTGCTTTGTTTTCTAGGTCCGGTTTATCACTAAAATATGGCATCCTAATATTAGTTCCGTCACAGGCGCTATTTGCTTGGATATCCTGAAAGATCAATGGTAAGAGATTTTGACTTCTCTAATACATGAATTTTAAGATCTATGTAGTTATTTAACATGTGAATCTCAATATACAAGCACGCATTGCATTATAGTTTTTAGGCAACTGTTTTAGAATTGGCTTCAAGTTTGTTTTTTGGTTGTTATTGTTGTTGTTGTATTTTGAGGGTTTTTTTTTTGGTCACACCCGGCGAAGCACAGGGGTTACTCCTGATTCTGCAATCAGGAATTACCCCTGGCGGTGCTCAGGGGACCTTATGGGATGCTGGGAATCAAACCTGGGTTGGCCGCGTGCAAGGCAAACACCCTACTCGCTGTGCTATTGCTCCAGTCCCAAGAACTGGTTTTAAGTAGATAACTGAAAATATGTTGCAACTCAGACTGTAACATAACTAGTGACCTTCTGGGCTACGGGGTCACTGCTAGTTTGAAACAATACATTATTCTCAGAGGGATAATCATGGATGCTCAAGTGTTTGAATAATCAGATCTGTTTTTACTGAGATAGAGACAAAGAAGTATTAAAAGTTTTGTTGACTGCCGGAGCAACAGTACAGTAGGTAGTTTGTACAGTTCAATCCACTGGGTTTGGGTTCAATCCACTGCATCCCATATGATTCCCCCAAGCAACACTCCTGAGGATTTCTGGTTATGGTCAAAAAAAGTTGAGTGGTGTTCTCAATTATAAAAGTTATAGGGGCAGGTGGGGGGGAATAATAATACAGTGGGTGGTGTGCTAATCTTTTAAGCAGCTGACCCAGGTTGGATCCCTGGCAGCCCATATGGTTCTGAACACTGCCAGGTATGGCCCAACTGAAAATAAAATAAATTTTTTATACATCTTTAACATGTATACTACTTTATGGTCCTTCTATATATTTAGTCTGATTTTATTTTAGCCTGGTGTTTTGTGGTTGTTGTTGTGTTTTGTGTGGTTGATGGCAGTGCTCATGAATTACTCCTAGTGGGCTTTGGACCGTGTAAGGAGCTTGTGTTGAACCTGGTTCTGCTGTATATAAGGCAGATGCCTGCCCATTGTACTATCTCTTGGGTCCCTGACCTAGTGTTTTGTTTGTTTGGCTTTTTGGGTCACAGCCAGCGATGCTCAGGGGTTACTCCTGGCTCTGCAGTCAGTAATCCCTCGTGGCAGTGCTTGGGGAACCATATGGGATGCCGGTGATCAAACCCAGGTCGGCTGCATGCAAGGCAAACACCCTACTTGCTGTACTATCTCTCCAACCCCCAAACCTAGTGTATTAACACTTGCGCAGGTTTAAGTATTGGATCTGCCAGTTGGCTTGTGTTGGGGGTCGGGGCGGGGTGCACACTCAATAAATTCTCTGGGGTTTCTACTGGGTCTACACTCAGGAATTACTCCTGGCAGTGCTCTATGGAGCATATGGGATGCTGGGGATTGAGCCCAGGTCAACTGTGTGCAGAGCACTCCCCCGACTGGACTGTTGGTCTAGCCCACTTCACTGTGTCTGAAAAAAGTAGCTCATACTTCCTTAAGAGAGCTGTTGAGGACAAACGAGTCAGTTTATATCGTCAACTATATTTGATTCAGTACAAGACCCTGGGTGTATAATCCCTCATGAGCAATCAGAAGTTACTCCTAATGTACTGTGAATGCAGGGATCAAACCCAGATCGCCTGTGTGCAAGGGAAGTGCCCTACCCTCTGATATTTCTCCAATCCCTGGTCTCTTATTACTAATCTCTTAACACCCCCCTCCCCAGTGTTTTTGTTATTGTTGTTTGCCTTTTGGGTCACTGGGCAATGCTTCCTCCTGGCTCTGCACCCAATAATTTCTTTTGGCAGTACTTGAGGGACCATATGGAGTGCTGAAGATGGAACCTGGGTTGGTCTCGTCCAAGGCAAATGCCCTACCTGCTCTGGCCCTACTTTGCCTAATTTTTAGTTAAACTTTCTCATTGTGTAGTAGCATGGTTTCTTAGTTGGGGGGCTTGCCCAGTGATGCTCAGGGCTCACTCTATTTAGAAAGTAATAAGGGAATGTTTGAAAGACACCAGAGGGTTCTCCAGAGTGGAAGTAGGCATGCAAAGGAACATGGAGAGAAGCATGTGAGGTATGTGTTTTCTGGATGGTAATTATTTTAAGGGGCAGTAACTCGTCATTTGATTTACATGCTTTCATTTGGGGGAGGAGTATGTTTTGGGCCACAGCCATGCTCAGGGCTTCTTCCTGACTCTGCTTTAGGGCAACGCTTTCTTTTTTTTTTTCTTTTTGGGTCACACCTGCTCAGGGTTTACTCCTGGCTTTGCACTCAGGAATAACTCCTGGCGGTGCTTGGGGGGACCATATGGGATGCTGGGAATCGAACCCAGGTCGGCTGCGTGCAAGGCAAATGCCCTACCTGCTGTGCTGTTGCTCCAGCCCCAAGGGCAACACTTTCAAGAAATGTTTTTTTTTTATTGTTGGGGTTTTGGGGGGGGGTCATGCCTTGTGATGCTCAGGGGTTAATCCATATGGAATGCTGGGAATTGAATCCCGGTTGGCCACGTGAAGGCAAACGCCCTACCTGCTATGCTATTGCTCTAGCCCCTAAATAAATGTTTGTTCTGCTCCTTCGGGGGTGGGGGTGGATGGTGTACCTGGTGGCATACCTGGTGGTGCTGGGGATCAAAAAACTGGTCTCCTGACACAAAACTTGCACTCGTTCCCCTTAGCTCTTTCTGGTTTCCCTTTATTTTGGGGGTTGGCAGGGACTTGGCATGCAGTTCTCAAGGGTCCTGGAGGCCCCTCCTCGTGACACACAATACTTGGAGGGACTGCGTGGTGCCTGGTATGAACCAGGGATACAACGCACATGTCTCATTTTGTACATCTCTCTGCAACCCCACCCCTTTTAAATTGGTTTTGTTTTAGTTCTCTATGTTAATCGGGGGGGGGGGGGTGGAGGGGGAGAAGCATATCCAGTGATGCATAGGGGTGGTTTCTGGCTCTGCTCTTGGGAGTTATTCCTGGTGATGCATGGGGAACTGTATGGGATGCTGGGGGTCGAGCCTGGGTCGGTCTTGTGCAAGGAAAGCACATTACCCAATGTACTATCTCTCTCTGGTCTTTTGATGTTAATCTCTTAGCATATTTGTGGTTTATTTCATGGTTTTTGTTTCATACCAACCAGTGCTCAGTGACTGCTATTGACGTGGTGCTCAGGAGTCACTCTTGGTGATGTCAGATACTGAACCAGAGGTTTGTGCATGCAAAGTCATGTGCTCCAACCCTTTCAGCTATTTTTCCAGTTCATGCCCAGAAATTCTGGTCCTTGTATACCACCACCAAAAAAAAAAAAGGAAAAGGCCTGGAGGAATATACAGGGCCTTGCAAGTATGTGTGTCTTTCTTTTTTAAACCTTTTATTGAATCACTGTGATATAGACCCTTACAAAGCTATTTATGATTGGATTTCATTCCTCCACCAATGTACATTTCCCAGCACCAGTGTCCCCAGGTTCTTTCCCATCACTCTCCACCCTTTACCCCTGCCTGCCTCTACGGCAGCCACTTCTCTCTCTTGTCTCTTTGTCTTCTCTTTTGGGCATTGTGGTTTGCAATAATTGTTACTGAAAGGTTTTCAAGAAAATCCCCTTACCTACTTTTAACCATCAGGTCCTGTCCAGCATGATCATCCCCAGCTATTATTGTCATATTGGTCTCTTCTCTGTCTTACCTACCCTCAGCCCCACACAAGCTTGTGGTTAATTGAAACCATTGACCAGCCTTCCTGTCACTGTCACTGTCACTATCCTCCCATTGTTCATCAGTTTGCTCAAGCGGGCCCAGTAATGTCTCCATTGTGAGACTTGTTACTGTGTTTGGCATGTCAAATACGCCACAGGGAGCTTGCCGGGCTCTGCAAGAGGGGCAGAGGAATCAAACCTGGGCCGGTTGGGTTGGCCGCGTGCAAGGCAAACACCCTGTCCGCTCTGCTATCGCTCCAGCCCGACCAGTCCGCCTAACCCCTGTTTTTCCTGTCCATGGATATTATTTTTCTACTACATATTTTTTAAAATACCACAAATGAACGCAGTCATTCTGTATCTGCCCCTTTCCTTCTGACTCATTTCACTCAGTATGATATTCCATGTCCGTCCATTTATAGGCAAATTTCATGATTTCATTTTCCTGACGGCAGCATAGTATTTCTTTGTGTAGATGTGTCATAGCTTCTTTATCCATTCATCTGTTCCTGGGCACTCAGGTTGTTTCCAGATTCTGGCCCGGTGAAATGCTGCAGTGAGCATAGTGCAGATGGTGTTTCTGCTGTGTGTTTTTTGGCTCCAGTGTGTATTCCTAGAAGCGGTATTGCTGTGTCAAATGGGAGCTGAATTCTAGTTTTTTTGAGAAACGTCCATATTGTTTTCTGAGGAGGCTGAACCAGTCAGCATTCACACCAGCAGTGAAGGAGAGTCACCTTCTCCCCACATCCACACCAACACTGGTAGCTTTTGTTCTTTTGGGTGTGTGCTAGTCTCTGGTGTGAGATGATATCTCGTTGTTGTTTTGATCTGCATCTCCCTGATTAATGATGAAGGGCATTTTTTCACGTGCTTTTGACCATTCAAATTTCTTTGAGAAAGTTTTCATTTCATCTCCCCGTTTTCTGATGAGATTGGATTTTTCTTGTAGAGTTCAACTGGTGCCTTGTATATTTTTGATATTAACCCCTTATCAAAAGGGTATTGGGTAAATATCCTTTCCCATTCTATGGGCTGTGTTTGTATCCTGGTCACTTTCTTTTGAAGTGCAGGGGCTTCTTAGTTTAATGTAGTTCCATTTTTTTTTCCTTTGCTACCACTTGAGTGGTCAGTGGTGTTTTATCTTTGAAGATACCGTTAGCTTCAATATCATGGAGGGTTTTGCTGACCCTTTCTTCAGTGTGTGTCTTGTATGCACAAAACCTCATGGAAAACGCCCCACCTGGTATACCAAACTTGGCCTTTTTGGCGGGGGGGGGGGGGGGGGGAGTGGGTGTCATACCCGGTATTGCACAGGGTTCCTCCTGGCTTAAGCACTCAGGAATTACTCGTGGTGGTGCTCAGGGAACCATATGGGATGCTGGGAATTGAACCCGGGTTTTCTGCGTACAAGGCAAACACCCTACCCACTGTGCTATTGCTCCAGCCTAGTTGGCCTAATTTTTAATTAAACTTTCTCACTCTATGTAAGCAAAATCATAATAGAGAAAGCTGTGCTGGCGGCTGTAACTGTACTTTTTGAACCTGGCAGCTCTTCTGCTTATGATCCCCAGTGCAATAGATCAATAGTATGTGAACCCTCAGCCAACTCGACAACTGAAAAAATGTGTGTGAGCAGAGACCCCAGCAAGTCCCACAACCATATCTTTGTGTCTCAGCTAAGAGTGCTCAGAGCATGTGTGCAAGCCCCACATCTTAGCAGATTCAGGCTTTGGGGTTTCTTGTGACTAAGTGTGGTAGCATTACGTCTGGCATGTAACCCCAGCAAGCACCACTGCTGGGTGTCTGTTGGCAGCAGCGAGAACATCTAAGAGGAAGGTTCTTGTTTTATGATAATGGCAGAGCATGGACAAACATCAAAATCACTGAATGTGAACTTCGTAAAATTATTCCCATAATATTTTTTATTTTGAAAAACAACACTTCTTCCTGGTGTTACTGGGAGCAGAGAGCACGGGCCTCACTCTCGCATAGCAGCTGCTCTACCACTGGCTACCTCGAGGTCCCCTGTGGAATTTGTTCAGTTATTTTTTTTAGTCCTGTCTGCTGAGGAACCACTCCTGGTGGGAGTCTGGATCACAAGGATGCCGGGGATCAAACTTTGGTTGACTGCATGCAAGGCAAATGCCCTACCCGCTGTGCTGTCTCTTCCACCCTAGAATTTATTTTTATTTTTTGGGTTGTGTCTAAAAAGATACTGTTCATTCTAAGGATTTAACAGTTATTAGTTGAAAGTAGCTTGTATAAGCTTTTCAAGCATTTTGAACCTCAATTTAGAAATGTAATTTCTATTTTCCCAGCCACCTTTTTCAGAATTAGGCTTTTTGGTCTGGAGCAATAGTACAGAGTCTTCAACACAGCCAACCTGGGTTCGATCCCTGGCTTTCCATATGGTCCCTCGAGCACCACCAGGAGTGATTCCTGAGTGCAGAGCCAGGAGTAACCCCTGAAAATCAGCAGGTGTGACCCAAAAAACAAAACCAACAAACAAAAAAACCAGAATTTAGCATTTCCATCTGGACAGATGATACAGCAGGTAGGACTTTTGCCTTGCCAGCCTCCCAGGTGCTTCAAGGAGTAAGGCCTGAGCTGTGCCGGGTGTGGCCCAGCAATTGTGATGCAAAATAGCTTGCCTGGAGAGAAGTGAGAGGTGAAGAAAGAGGGGACTTGTATTTGATGCAGGGTTTTTATTGTGGAGATAGGCATGCGAGAACATGGACTCCGTAGCAAGCCCAGTTCTTTTCATTCTGGACTGAGAACCATCCAGTCCCAGGGCTGAAGTTTAGCAACCATTATTTGCCTTTTAACATGATTGTTCTGCTATTACTCCAGATAGGATCCATGGATGGGTTACAGTCTCACCTTTGGGGGGGGGGGAGGGGTTGGTTGTTTGGTTTTTGGACCACCCAGCTGTTTTCAGGGCTTTCTCTGTGCTCAGGGATCGTTTCTGGCAGAGGACCGTATCACTTTACTGTGTTAGCCTTGAAGGACTTTCCTTCTCGTACTATTTGAGGAATTCCCCTGGTTTTTTTTTTTTTTTTTTTTTTTGCTTTTTGGGTCACACCCGGCAATGCACAGGGGTGACTCCTGGCTCTGCACTCAGGAATTACTCCTGGCAGTGCTCAGGGGACCATGTGGGATGCTGGGAATCGAACCCGGGTCGGCCGCGTGCAAGGCAAACGCCCTACCCGCTATGCTATCTCTCCAGCCCCGAATTCCCCTAGTTTTTAAAGTGTTCTAACTACATTCTCTTCCCTCCCCCACCTAGTTCTTTTATCATATCTAAAAGTATAGATTAGGAATAAAAACTACTATGAATTTAAGGAATAAAAAACTACTATGAATTTAAGGCCACTTTTAGTTTAATGGTTTTGAAGAATAAATAGCTTTTTTTGGGGGGGGTCACACCCAGGAATGCACGGGGGTTATTCCTGGCTCTGCACTCAGGAATTACACATGACGGTGCTCAGGGGACCAAATGGGATGCTGGGAATCGAGCTCACGTTGGCCGCGTGCAAGGCAAACGCCCTACCCGCTGTGCTATTGCTCCAACCCCTAAATAGCCTTTCGTAATAAAATTGTAATGTGTTGTAACAGTACCTGTCAAGTTTGAAAGTGAATGGTTATTTGCTTAAAAGTGTCACAAAGGAAAGTTTCACAGGGCCAGAGTGATTGTACAGTGTAGGGCATTATTAGCCTTGCACACGACCCGCTGGGTTAGTCCCAGCGCCCCATGTCATTCCCCTGAACCTACTAGGAGTGATCCATGAGTGCAGAGCCAGAAGTAAGCCCTGAGCACCACTGTGTGTGTTCCCCCTCCCCACCCCCCAAAAATATGGTTTCACATATTTACAGCTGTTACCACCAGTCTGTATTCCTGATCCACCTTTTAAAATAATGAATTTTAGTGCCAAAGAGAGTCTAGCAGGTAAGGCACATGCCTGGCATGTGATCTACTCAGGTTTAAAAGTCAGCACTATGTTAACATCCCATGAACACTCCTGGGTATGGCCCAGAACCCCACGTAATACTGTAAGTGTATTAAAAGTCTATAAATAAAGAATGGGCGCCATGGGGAGCACTGCTGGTGGGACTTGGTCGTGATGAGGTGTGAGAGATTCCAAACCTGGTCTGCTGCTTGCAAGGAAAGTGCCCTACCTGCTGCACTAGCTTTTTGGTCCAAACTTCGTGATCTTTGTTTAATGGCATGTTTTCATGTAGAAAATGTCCACTTTGTTGTTCTCATATAGAGCTTTCTTAACTTATTTTAATTTTTTTTTTTCAAACATCAGGGCAGCAGCAATGACTCTGCGCACGGTATTATTGTCATTGCAAGCACTGTTGGCAGCTGCAGAACCAGATGATCCTCAAGATGCAGTGGTAGCAAATCAAGTAAGATGACTGCTTTGTGGCCAGGGGGCGGGGTTGGGGGGCCTCCCGTGGTGATGCTGAGGCGTCCGGCCAGGTCTCCTGCATGCAGAGCATGTGCTCCAGCCCTTTGAGCTATCTCCCTCGCCCCAAGATAGCCAGGCCTATCTACATGACTGTCATCTTTAGTAATTTAGGACTTTATTAATACAGGAGCAAATACGTCTGCTGAAACGCAATTTTAAAATGGTTTCCTTTTTCTTTTGTTCACGATTGAGTTTCAGGCATACTTTGTTCCAACACCAATTCCTTCACCCATGTCCGCTTCCCTCCACCAGTGTCCCAAGTTTTCCTGCCATCCCCCAGCCTGAAGGCACCCCTTCCCGCACCCACTTCAGCCCTGTGGTTTATAGTACTGTACTGATAGTTTCGTGCGTATGACTGCCACTACCCCCCCAGTCCCCCCCTCACCCCTCCGGCGTGACCAGTTTCCTGCTGAAGATCGAGCCCATGGATTTATCTTCCTTTCTTTTATCAACACAACTTGTAAATCATAGTTTCAGTTTAAGCAGTATTAAGTGACATAATCTGCATGAAAAACAGCTTTTTTTTTTTTTTTTGTGAAACACCATGAGGTACAGTTGTAGACTTAAAAATTTTTGTGCTTGGTTTCAGTTATACAATCATCAAGTACCCATCCCTCCACCAGTGCCCCTTCTCCACCACCACTAATCTTGGTATCCCTCCCACCCCCATCCCCCCTCCCCACTCTGCCTGTGTGGCAGAGCATTCCCATTTGTTCTCTCTCTCCTTTTAGGTAAAACAGCCACTTTTTTTTTTTTTTTTTGGGGTCACACCTGGCAATGCTCAAGGGTTACTCCTGGCGGTGCTCAGGGGACCATATGGGATGCTGGGAATTGAACCTGGGTCGGCCGCGTGGAAGGCAAACGCCCTACCCGCTGTGCTATCACTCCAGCCCCCAAACAGCCACATTTTAACAATTTATTTTGAATTAGTTTTGTTTAGGAAACCAGATTTTTAGGAACTTAAGTTAATTGTCTAATAATATTTAATATTGTTAGTACTATCATTAATCAATTTTATTTTCCTCCTTATAGTACAAACAAAACCCTGAAATGTTCAAACAGACAGCTCGACTCTGGGCGCATGTGTACGCTGGAGCACCAGTTTCTAGTCCAGAATATACAAAAAAAATAGAAAATTTATGTGCTATGGGCTTTGATAGGGTAAGTACATAAGTGCATGTTGATTTTATAATAACGTGATTTATTATAAATTACTGATGAAGTTCAGGATTTTTTTTTTTTCCCTTGCTTTTTGGGTCACACCCAGCGATGCCTAGGGGTTATTCCTGGCTCTGCACTCAGGAATTTTTCCTGGCGGTGCTCAGGAGAACATACGAGATGCCGGGGATTGAACCCAGGTCAGCTGCGCCCGTGCAAGGCAAATGCCCTACCCGCTGTACTCTGTACTCTGACCCCAGTTCAGGAAATTTAAATCTAGTTTTGATGAACTTGCTGGGGTTTTTTTGGTTTGGGTGTTTTTTTTAATGAATTCTCAACATTATAGTAGTTCAGTATTTACTCAAACATTTTGATTTGATTTTCTTCCTTCTCCACAGAATGCGGTAATAGTGGCCTTGTCTTCAAAGTCCTGGGATGTAGAGACTGCAACAGAACTGCTTCTCAGTAACTGAGGCACAGCGCTGCTGATAGAGTCAAGCTTGCCCCTTCTTGAGGCGAATCACCATCTGTTATTTTTAGGATTCTGCATAGATTTCTTTTAAACTGGCATTCTTGCCTAATGATGTTATCTAGGCACCATTGGAGACTGAAAAAAAAAATCCCTGCTATGTAAATAAAGCTAATTAAACGTCTGTGTAAATTTAAAAAGGGGAAATACTTTAATTTTTTTTCTTGATAGTGTAAAAATTCTTTCAGCTAAGCTAAAACCATGGAAAAAACATGCTACTTTAGTGTTTAGCAGTGTACCAAGACTAGCAAGAGTTTGCTTCAGGACTTCGTTGAATAATTAAGACAATATTTTGAGTGTGTCAGGGCCATTCCGACTGTGGTGTTGCATCCCAGCTACCTACTGTTTCTACCATGGATCTCTGTGCCTGTGAATTGACTTGCATGCTTGTACTTGACTTAGGATGGGTAGCTGAAAAGACCACCATTTTAAGCATTTGAGAATTCTAACATATAAAATTTATTCAGAATTGAATGTGGTGACCTATTCAGAGCCTTTGTCCCTGTCAGCAGACTGGGAAACCATATCTGTTCCCCCCCTCACCACACAGCTGATATTCCAAGAGCAGTTTTCTCTATTCTTCATACAGTGAAGATACAGTGGAGGGCCCTAGTCCTTGCTCCACTGTTAGGTTGTCCATGTAAAATATTTTTGTCACGATTCTCTACTTGGAAAGCTTAAGTAAGATTGTGAAAATGGAGCTACCAATTTTCTCTAGCAAAAGCAGTGAATACTGAATGTTACAGTATTTCCAGATGTAATGAAAAAAATCCAACTTAGTTCCTTGGCAAATTTGACATCTGTACTCAAACAGATTTTTTTTTTGAGATCATTAAAGGAAGAAATTGACTATAGCAGTTTTTAGCCTAATTTTGGCTGAGACTACTTATCAAATACTTCTAAAGTCACACTTGCACTTACCCTACCGATTCATGAAAGCTGTGTTGGTGTTTTACTGTACATACTTCAGATGCACATAGGAATAGAAGTGTGTTATAAAATCTAGCTTTCTTTATGATGTTTCTGATATGAAAATTGAAAACTTTACCTTTTCTTGTATATAGTCAGACTTTCTATTCATATTAAAGTTACATTTCATTCTGAGTTCAAAAGTTTGAAAATTATTAGTTTTGCAAGCTCAAACACTAATGTGACCATTTTATGAAGGTTGAAATGGATTTATGCAGACAGTTCCATACACAGAAACAGTTCTTAGTGAAGTTTCAGGACCAATAGAAAATAATAAAAATGTAATGGAATCAGAATGAATTAAAGCAAGGCTGTATATTGAAAGTCGTCATAAGAGGTTTGCTTTCCTCGAGTGTTATTTATCCTAAGTTATTATCATATGTGTTGGAGAACCATTTTAAAATCATTAATTCAGCATAGTTTCATTTGACTTCTCAATAATCTTAGAAGCAATAAAAGGACCATTATTAAATAATACTGTAATATTAAAGATGTGAAGATTCTTCAAGAACCTTGTAAGGCTTTCCTGATCGACAGTAAACTCTTGTAGTTGTATAATTGCAAACTAAGCGCAAGTCGCTATGTTTTTTTGCCCTGTATGTTTCCTTAAGCATAAATTTCTTTATACAATCACCTCCCTTAATTGTTGTAGTTTAGTTACTTTCTAAAGATGCCAAAGGAATCAAGATTTTATTTATTTTAAATAGCTGAAACCATGTACTTTATATTTTGAAGTAAGGTGGGATTGTGTGAACATGTGGACAGTTTGTTTCATTGTTAGAATTTTTTTAGTGAAGGGAAGCTTGGTGATTTTAGTCATGTTTGAATTATTTCAGATATCAAACACATCCTCCCAGTTTACTGTTGGCCTGCATTGCCAGGGTATATTTAATTGTCCTCTGTTCAGACAAAGGAGAGGAGAACGTAGAGGCTTTCTGCTAGCGGTCCAGCATGGTGACTTCCCGCGGAGGCTGCCCTTGCTTCCCTCTGACCTGATGTGCGTGGAGAAAGCAGAGCTCTCAGCATGCCCAGGGCCCAGGAAATCATAGCATACCATTTGTGGAGAGGTTCTCCAGGAAGCATTTTCATTCCAAAAATTTACCTCATTTATGTTTAATGTGACGTTCCCTCTCCTTTCCTGGCACTTTTCCTACTGTCTTCCTGGGTTTTTTGCTGTTGACCATTGTTTGTGTGTGCTCGTTTCTGTGGGGTGCCATGGATCAGATCAGAGCCTTCATGCATGCCAGTCTGTGCTCTACCACTGAGTTACATTCCTAGCACCTGAGCTTTTTTTTTTCCACTTTACATTTACATTTATTTTCCTCAGCATAGAGATCAAGGCAATAGACTATTTTCCTGTGGTCTTAACTCTGCTTCTAAAAAGAACACTAAAATTTCAGGTACACAGGGAAAAGGTAACCCTGGTAGAAATTTTTGCAATTTGTCATTTAAAAGCCTTCAGAAATTAATGTTGGGGAAAAAACATACTATGATAGCTTTTAGGGCAGGCGACCTATTTGTTTAAGGTCAATGCGCATTTTATTATGCCATTTCTTTGCTGAATATGTGCCTGACTTTTAAAAGAACAAATAACTAGTTGTATAGTGTTTCATTACAAAATAGCAATTTTCAACCCAAATAAGTGTACAGTAATTGGTATGTAAAATATGTGAGGAACTTGGTACTGAATAGATGATCTGAATTAACCCCTTCAAATGTTTGAAAGTATAACTATGATTTAAACACACTCAAGGGAAATGTTGATGTTTGAATTCAATTTTTTTTTGAATTTTTTCTTTTGAATATTTTGATTTTCAGGAGAATCATACATGAAATGAAAGGCAACTTTTTTCCTTTTGGGAGAAGACTTTCACATGTGATTGTTGGTGGCATTTAAAACTATGCAAAATAGTCTTTTAAGTATGAAAAAGAATTGGCCGTTAAGTGGATATTACTTATTTATGCACTACAGAATGCAGCATTTCAGATTATTTGTTTACTAAGCTGCTAATAAGTTTATCAATGTGAAAAGCAGGTCTTGCTTTAAGTGTACGCCTGACTTGAGCTTTTAAAAACTTTATAATAGGAGTATGCAAATGTTCCTATAATCCTTGTAGTTACACAGTATAAGACAATTTAAAGATTTAAAATTCAGGAAGGGAAGAGTTCGAGCCGGGTATACCTTTTTTGTACATAGATGGAAACAACATTTGGGTGTGAAAAAGGAAGCCGTCTGTTTACAGTTAACTTGATTTCACAGATTTTTACTTAATGATGTATTGATCACTATTTTCTAGTTCGAGAAATTTTAATTCCAGGGTACAAACCATTGATTCAATTTTTTGGCATTTCCATTGTTAGTGCCAGTTCAAAATCAGTGCTTGACATCAGCTATTTACTGTGACCGGGGAAGAAGACAACTTGAAGTATTCAGTAGTAAATAGCCTTTTCCCCACGTCTGAATCTTGTGCAGTGTCTGCATAGTGTGTCACCTGTTCTGTTCGCACTGTTGCAATATGGTTCAAAGTATTGTGGCAGAGGGTCGGGGATACCAGTTTCTCCCTGGGCCCATTTGTTCCATTACTGCTTGGTTGGACTGATCTGTTCCTCATCTGCCTGTGGTCCTCACCTAAATGTCAGTTGTGAATGTGTCGTCTGCTTGATGACTCCGGCCATGCTGCTAATGAAGTGTGGCCCCGTTTTATCCATTAGGCTCAAGGGGGTGAGTGGCTGCAGATTGCACTGTTCTGTCCAATGACCCTTGTGTGCTTGCTGTTAGCTACTTTTACAGGCATCATAATAAAAGCTAGACTATTTCTTTTTGGGGGGAAGAGACTTATTTAATGTAATTTAAAGACTTTTCCGATAGAAAATGAAATACTATTGAAAATATCTATTTTTCAGCTTTCAGCAATGGATGGTGCTTTGCTGTGGTGTCTGCTGGAAGTCTACTGCCATTCTAGGGATTCTCATGAACCTCACTGAGAAAGGACCTTGCTTGTTAGCTTCTCTAGATCTCTATTCTAAACAATCTGTTAGTGATGACAAATTCTGTAGGAGGGTCTATTCTGAGCCGTTAACTTCCTGTAAGGGGAAAATGGGTGGGTTTCCAGAAAGACCGTTGAAACAGGGTGGGCTGCGGGTGGAGGGTAGGGTATTGTCTTGAGAATTAAAAACTAAAAAACACTTTTGTACACAACTGATTTTTTTAAAAAATAAACACATTTTTAAAGATGTTGAATTTTTTTTCCCCCCTTACTGGGAATTCTTAAAAATAAATGCATGCGTGTTTTCCCCTTAAAATGGTTTATATTTTCTTTCTGGTTACTCTATGTTAAAGATGAGCATTTAAGCAAGGAAACAAACTATTTTAGGCAAGTCGTTTAGAAACAAGCTGAAATTGTTTAATCCTGATTAAAGTTATTTGAAAGTAAAAATATTGTTTGGTTAGGTATTCAAGGTTTAGCATGCTGAAAGTAAATCTGTTCGAAAAAAGTCTGAAAAAGTGCTATTGTGGGAGGCTAAAGGGTGCTGTCCTTGGTTATCCCTGCCTACATTAATATTGCATAGATAGAGCTTATGCTACTTTTTTCAAATAATGAAGCTGTCTCGGGCACTCAGAATTAGCTGTCAGCCACTCCAGGTCTCGGTATTAAGTGCTCTTTTTATTAAGTGCTCTTTTTATCTTCTTGCACCTACATACGTGTCCACATTATGATGTTCATGCCCCCTCACCCCCATTTACATTGAGTAAAAATGCCCTCAAACAACTTTTCCATCCTTCTCTTCCTATTGTAAATAGTCTTTCAATGAGATACCGTAGCACCAGATCCTGCAGGTAGGGTTGTACAAGCCAAGTGCTGCATAGGGCCTCCTGACCACCGCCAGGTTAACTATAACCCAAATCCAGAACCCAGCACGTCGCCTAGTGCTGCCCAGGTCATCATGGTCCTTCCCAGTACCACAGACACAGGAACAAGTGCTTGTCACCCTTCAGCATCCACTGGCTTAGATGGCCAAGTCTTGCCTGGCCAAGGAGTCCTTGTGCCCTTTGAGTTCTTGGAAGGCAAAAAAGAAGAAAAAAAAAAAACTCCCACGGAGCATTACTTTAGTTCTTAGTTGCATAATTCTATATATAGTGCAAGCTGCTTTCAGATTCTTCAAGTGCTCTGACAGGTCATGTCAAAAAGACTTTCTCTGGGGCTGGAGTGATAGCACAGCAGGTAGGGTGTGTGCTTTGCACGCGGCCGACCCGGGTTCGATTCCCAGCATCCCATATGGTCCTCTGAGCTCCGCCAGGAGTAATTCCTAAGTGCATGCCAGGGATCGAACCCGGGTCAGCCGCGTGCAAGGCAAATGCCCTACCCGCTGTACTATCGCTCCAGTCCCTAGACTTAATGTATTTAGACTGGGGTATTGTGCTGGGCTCTGGGGCCTCACACCTGTGAAGCAGGTGCTCTGTCATGATACTCCAGGTCCTTGACTTCCTGCTTTTTATTTTTATTTTTTCTTGAGCTTTGAGTTTGAGTCACAGCCAGTAATGCTCGGGTCTTACTCCTGGTTCCGAACCCTGGACTAATGGCAGCTCTGAGTACTACGGGGTGCTGGTTTCAAGCTCGGGTCTTCCCTGTGCAAGGCAAGCACCCTAACTGCTGTACTATAACTCCAGTCCCAACTTCCTGTTTTTTCTTGATCATTATTTTGACAGTAATAGAGTTTAGGTTCAAGGACAGCCATTAGCATAACACAAAAGCATTGTGTACGTAGTGTGACTTTGGGCAACAGATGCACAGGTGAGGACTGACTGCACTGTAGTAAAAACTGCTTTGAGACTCAGATAAAGAGAAGATGGGCAAGATAGCTAGACCAGGATATTGGGTATTTGCCTTACACGTGACTTACCTAGGTCTGATCTCCAGCACGCCCTGAGCCCCACCAGCAGTTACCGAAAGTGCAGAGCCAGGAGCAAGCCCACTAGGTGTGGTAAGAAAAGATAAAATGGATTCTTAAAGCTCAGAGATTATAGAGGGTGTAAGGCTTGTTCCATGCATGTGGCCAGCCCTGGTTTAATCCCAGGCATTGCATATGGTCATTGAGTACTGTTTGGCTGTGTCCCCCATGTGCCCCACCCCACCCCCCACACACAAAAGAAAAAAATTATGAAAGGAAAAGTAGACAAGACGTATCTTTGTTGGAGACATCCATATGCAGACTGCACCCAATACCTAATTCCTAAACAATGCTTTGGTGGGACACTTCCCTTGCACGCAGCAGATGTGGGTTCATGCACCAGCACTGCATATGGTTCTCAAGACTACCAGAAGTGATCCCTGAGTACTTTGAAACAAACAATTCTTTGTTACTAGTTTTTGCTTTGTTCAGGATGGCAGCCTTAACTTCTGTCCTTGCTCTCAACTGCTGCTTTTCCAGTTCGCTTTTTGAGCCACGTTCAGCAAGGCTCAGGGACAACTCCTGGTTTCATGCTTAGGGACTGTGCAGTGCCAGGGATCAGATCGAAGTTCAGCCTCCTATGGGCAAAGTATGTGCTCATTCCATTGAATTATCAAATCCCCAATTTACCAGTTACTTTGTAGATTAATACTTTTTTCTTTTTTTTTTTCTTTTGATTTTTGGGTCACACCCAGCGGTGCTAAGGGGTAACTCCTGGCTCTGCACTCAGAAATTACTGCTAATGGTGCTCTTGGGACCTATGCCTCTGGGATGGTGGGGTGCCAGGGATCAAGTCAGGGTCAGCTGCAGGCAAGGCAAGCTCCCTACCCGCTATACTATCTCTCCTGCCCCCAATACTTCTCCGTTTATTAGGCCATATTTCACAGTACTCGGGAACTCAGTGCTTTGGGCATCAGGCACTACTAGGGATCAAACCCAGATCGAACCTACAGAGCTTGCCCTTCACCTGTTGAACCTGTTTGCATCCAAATATGCTCTTCAGCTTTTGCTAACTCCTGGATGTAATATTTATTTAAGATTTTGGGATCACACTCAGTGATGTTCAAGACTTACTCCAGGCTCTGTTTTCAGGGATCACTCCTGGCAGTGCTCAGGGGACCATATGGGGTTCCAGGGACCAAACCAGGTGAGCTGCATGCAAGGCAGGCACCTATCCCTGCACTCCCACTCTGCCTCTCCTCACTCCATCTTTTATCTTTTCTAAGGGGTCTGGAGCGATAGTACAGTAGGCAGGGAGCATGCCTTGCACACAGCACCAAATACAGACCCCTGAGCCCTGCCCAGAGCACAGTCAGGTGTGGCCCCCTAAAAAAAAGAAAAGAAAAAACACGGACTGGAGCACGGCGGGTAGGGTGCTCTTACTCTGGCCCTGGGAAACCACTTTATTCTACCCCATTACTACTGTTCTTAGCATGGAAGGTGAATCAGATAGTTTCATATATTCAGATTTTCCTCCTCCTCCTCCTCCTCCTCCTCGTCTTCCTTGTCCACCTAATCCTCATCCGTCCTCCTCCTCCTCCTTGTCCTTGTCCTTGTCCTCCTCCTTCTCCTCCTCCTTCTCCTCCTCCTTCTCCTCCTCCTCCTCCTCCTCCTCCTCCTCCTCCTCCTCCTCCTCCTCCTCCTCCTCCGCCGCCGCCGCCGCCGCCGCCGCCGCCGCCACCGCCTCCTCCTCACGATGCACAGGGGTTTCTCCTGGCTCTGTACTCAGTAATTACTCCTGGGTGCTTGAGGTATTGGGGGACCATATGGGATGCCAGGGATCGAACCTGGGTTGGCTGTCTGCAAGGCAAATGCTCTTCCCACTGTACTCTGGCCCCTATATTCAGGTCCCTATAATTGTCTTGTAATGTTATTTTCTCTGAATACCCTGATAGACTCTACTAGTATGAAGTGGTAAGTAATGTAAGGCAAAAGTAATAACAGAGCCACTGATGGTTTGGGGATGTAAAGACAAATCCAGAACACAAACTCCCAAGTAATTCTGTTAACTGCTCGGAAGGATGAAATGGTCCAGAAGAAGGCTGCGAAGATAGAACAAGGGCTGTTTGTGGTCAACCAACCCCAGGTTCAATGCCTGGCACCTTGTATAGTCCACTCAAGCCAAAAACAAAACATGGGTAAAAAGTAAGTATATAGTTCAGAAGATGATCAAAAAGAGAGTATGCATTTTTGGACACATTTCGTGTGAAATTTTACATTGAGATGGGTGGAAATGCAACGAAAGGAGAAGCACTTTGCTGGCATGCACACAGCCAACCGGGTTCAATCCCCAGCATCCATACAGTTCCCCGAGCCCACCAGGAATAATTCCTGAGTGCAGAGCCAGGAGGAACCCCTGAGCACTGCCGAGTGTGGTCCCCAAACAAACAAAACATTATTTTGTTTTTGTTTTGGGGCCACAGCCAGAGATGCTCAGAGGGTTACTCCTGGCTCTGTGCTCAGGAATTACCCTGGTGGTTCTTGGGAGGCCATAGGAGGTGTTTGTGATCAAACCCAGATTAGACACAAGTAAGGCAAGTGCTTTATCTGCTGTACTCTATCTACAATCCCCAAATTTGTGTTCCTACTTTAAAATTCTCTCTCTCTCTCTCTCTCTCAATCTCAATCTCTCTCTGTGTGTGGGGAGCTCTCTCTCTCTCTGTGTCTTTGTGGATGGGGGCTTTTTTCCCCTTTTTGGGTCACACCCAGTCATGCGCAGGGCTTAATCCTGGCTCTGCACTCAGGAATGACTCCTGGTGGTGCTCAGGGAACCGTATGGGATGCTGGGAATTGAACCTGGGTTGGCCGCGCGCAAGGCAAATGCCCTACCCGCTGTGGTATTGCTCCAGCCCCCACGGGGGGCTTTTTTTAAGGGGGTCTGTCTGACCCATTGGTGCTTGAGAGTTAGTTACTCCCAGCTCTGTGCTCCTGGGTCCCTGCAAGCAGTGCTCAGGGGACTGGAAATCATATCAGGGCCTCCTTCTTGAAAACTATGTGCTTGGCCTGTTGAGTTTTCTCTTTGGCCCAGTATCCTTTTTCTTAATAGTTACCTTTATGAGGATATTTACAAACTATTTTTTTTCCTTTTCAGTATTCAATACTGACTTCTGATTTAAAGCGTAAGTAGGTTGGCACATTCATTGCTTCTTCTCCTCAGACCACGACGTAAGGAAATGGTATGTAAGCTGATAGCAATGAAAGTCAGGATAAACTCCACAAAGAGTGAGAGTTCTGTCCCACAAAGTACAAACCAGATGAATGTTTTAGTTTATAACCACTAATGCTGCATGTGGAAAAAGCAAGAGGCTTGCTGAAATGTGGAGTTTGAATGTGTGAAGCAATAGTCCTTAAAA